TATCCATGCTAGTTCCTAGCCTCTTTGGTGCTAATACCAGCCTATCCATGCTAGTTGCTAGCCTCTTTGGTGTTAATACCAGCCTATCCGTGCTAGTTGCTAGTTTCTCCAATGCTAACACCAGCCTATCCATGCTAGTTGCTAGTCTATCCAATGCTAATACCAGCCTATCCATGCTAGTTCCTAGCCTCTTTGGTGCTAATACCAGCCTATCCATGCTAGTTGCTAGTCTCTCCAATGCTAACACAAATGAATAGTCTCATTCTCATTTGCCAGCACCAACCTCTCAGTTACCAGGGCCAGCTGCTCAGTTAGCGGTGCCGGCCTATCGTTAATCAGATCAATAACAGGCTTAGGAATAGATATAGCCTCCTGCTACAAGAACTTTGCAACCGCTGGTTGCACAATAGTCCTTATTTTGGCCCTCATACCGCGCCATCTGCAAATAAAATACCACACTAGATTTCAGCCAGTTTACATCTATTTTTGTGTTTGATAAGGTCAATAGATTGTGAAAATGAAAACACACACAATTACATTTTTATTGAATATTTTAGTTTTCTTTGGATATTACTGTAAGTTGGTCTATTGCATTCTACTTTTTATTTATAAAATGATTTTATACATAAAAACTAAATGCATATCCCAGCAGCCAGTCAGTGTTAGGTCTTTTACTATAATGTTTACCTTCTCCACACACTGTTAGACTTTAGGTGAATATATCACCTTTGAGACACAACGTTTCAAACTAACATAAGAGTAAAATACAGGAAACCATAGTACTGATACTGATATGTTTGAGGCCAACATGTCTTTTTGAACAGGTTTAATAACTCCCAGCAGTTTCTTCATTAAAAAAACAGACAAAACATAGTATTTTTATGTAAATCAGAATCAACATGGTTTCAGGCAGTTGTCTCTATTGGTTGAAAACCACTCTTAACAGTCTCGTCCCTGTTGCAGCAGTATTTATGTATTTGTAAATCTCAGCAATAACTGTGGTTTGCACAGTGTTATTACAGCCAATAAAAAAAGAAACTCAACTATTGTTGCCTGTGTGAGGCCCAAAGGATCAGTCAAAGCTCTGTCCCAATCTACCTCTTCCTCAATTTACATTATAAGTGCTCTGGATTGTGTGTGTGTGAGTTTGTTGATCCTCATACTTGTTGCGGCAGTAGAGAGCCATGCACAGTGTTCCCAGAAGGCTGATTGCCATGGCGATGGATGTGATTGACAGCACCTGTCTCTTGTACACAGCTTTGCTCTCTGTAGAAAAACACAAGAGAAGAAGGCACCATATTAATGTTTGAACAACACACTCTAGGGAAATAAAGGCATAGATGTTATACATTTCTGTTAAGATGAATGTTTGAGATGCAGAAGAAGAAAGAAAACCATAGAAGAAGAAAAAAATCCATGTTCCCACAGTCATTATTCACAGAGACAGTGTTAATACTAAACTAATACAATGCTGCGGTTTGCCAGTACTCTGAGTTAAATGTGGTTTTGAGATTTGTGCTTATCTGCTTTTAATTTCTAATGTGTTTGTTTACAGCACCCAAACAGCCATAAAAATCATCAAACAGCCAGTTCTTAAGCTAAGAGCTCTCTGGGGCTTTTTCAATCTGCCTCCATTCTTTGCGAGAGTAATTACTTTTGTGATAAACAAACTGAACAAACCTGAATTAAAACTAGAGAAATAAATGCCGGGTGCTGAAAAAACTGCTAAAATTTGCTTCAGAAGCTGAAACTCAAGTTAAACCAGCTCCAACCAGCAAAACAAAAGTCTAAATGAGCTGTACACCAGCTCAAACCAGCAAAACAAAAGTCTAAATGAGCTGTACACCAGCTCAAACCAGCAAAACAAAGGTCTAAATGAGCTGTACACCAACTACAACCAGCAAAACGAAGGTCTAAATGAGCAGTACACCAACTACAACCAGCAAAACAAAGGTCTAAATGAGCAGTACACCAACTACAACCAGCAAAACAAAGGTCTAAATGAGCAGTACACCAACTACAACCAGCAACACAAAGGTCTAAATGAGCAGTACACCAGCTATAACCAGCCAAATAAATGTCTAAATGAGCAGTACACAAACTACAACCAGCAAAACAAAGGTCTAAATGACCAGTACACAAACTACAACCAGCAAAACAAAGGTCTAAATGACCAGTACACAAACTACAACCAGCAAAACAAAGGTCTAAATGAGCAGTACACCAGCTATAACCAGCCAAATAAATGTCTAAATGAGCAGTACACCAGCTATAACCAGCCAAATAAATGTCTAAATGAGCAGTACACCAGCTATAACCAGCAAAATAAAAGTCTAAATGAGCAGTACACCAGCTACAACTAGCAAAATAAAAGTCTAAATGAGCAGTACACCAGCTACAACTAGCAAAATAAAAGTCTAAATGAGCAGTACACCAGCTACAACT